CTACGCCCTTTAGCTTCTAATATAAATAATAATAAAAATAAATAAATTTCTCTGCAAATTTTATTTTTCTATATATTAGCCTAGTAGAAATTTTTTTATGCCCCTCCTGGCTCCACTTCCGTTAACAAGTCAAGTTAAACATAACCAAGTACTAATTCAAAAGGTAATTCATTTAATATTATTGATCAACATTTCAAAAGCTTATTGTCCAAAAAACAAATATCTAATCCTGCCATAATAGTGGATAATCAACAGATAAATCAGGTCTCAAAAACTATAAATTTAAGAATGACAAACGTAAATTTGCATTTTTCAATCTTTGAAAATACACATGCATGCACGATCTTGCACATACCAACCCCACGATTAACACTCTAAGCCCAACATACTAAGAACATTAAAAAAGAGAAGAAAAGTAAGGGCTGAAACCTGTTACTTTTTAAAACAGTGCACAATGTGTACAAAAATAAAAACCCAAAATCCAGTTGGTTGAAGCAGAATGCTCAAAGAAGCTGTCAATTTAAGCAAAAATACCTGTTTTTCTCTATTTAAATGGGCACGCTTTTCAGCAGGAATTTGCTCCCACTTCAGAACCTTATCAGAAAAGACAACAAAAGCATCTTCGAGTCAAGCTATAAGTCTATAATGTGAATATGTTATGTATTTGTGCATGGTTCCTGCCTCTTTACATGGGTATTTATTTTGGGAAATAGTCATATACTTGCTCAGATTGAAAGCTTTAGTATGGAATTACAAACTTACAGATACAGCAAACTGAAAAGCCTCATCAGTTATTAAGCGGGTCTTCAACACACGCAAAACATCCTGGCAAGTGATAGAACAGTCATTTATAATGTATGAGCAAGTTATACTAACATTGTCCAGAAACACGTATTTAAGTTCATTAAAACTTGAGAGGACCGTGAACCAAATATTTTGTTTGAAAGCAAAGATATCAGATGAGATCACTATGAAAACACAACAAAGGCTTCGATTCCAAGATTTAGGAAAATAGAAGAGAATGTAATACTTAGTACTAATGCAGAAAGGACCAGCATAGAGACACGGGCTACAACCTTGTGTGTGCTCTTCTTGACTCTTAAGCGTTCATCAATGACAAAAGCAACCTGTAATAGAATAAATCAGAAGTAATAACAAACTACTAGTCCAACAGTATAAACACATTAAACAGTTCTCTACCCACTATCAATAGTTATGTGTCATTGCACAGTAACTAAGAGGAAAAGAGAGAGAGACCACAATGACCAAGAGAAAGTGACGAAAGCATACTACATAGTATCTTTTTGAAATATTGATTTGGATTGTCAAATACCACAACCAATTATTACTGTGACATATCTGACATTGCCAACACAGAAAATCCTTGAAATAGGATAGGAATTGCTTACTCCAGTGAACTGGGTGGATTTTTCTTTGATTAGGTCAATTTCATTATCATGAGTCTGCACACATGTGCATAAAGAGAGGGAAAGCAGTAGAAGATAACCAATTTCTCACCCAATTTATTTTGTATATCTGGAAGCATTCTTGCAGAAACAGCAAAAGCTAATTAAAAAAATACGTTGAAAACATTGAAAAAATGGGCAACTTGTTTAAATAAGAACTTGACACATGTATAGAAAGAATATGAGAGACTAACTTTTGCAGAATTCATGGGAAGAGAGGGCTATTAATAACAAGCATTATGAGCTCACCTTGTTAAGTAACCTCTTAGGATCATGAAATGCTGGCTTTTTGGCCCATTGATGGAATAGATGGGAAATAACAGCTCGGTCCTCTGTGCTGAATCTGTATATTTGAAATGAAGAATTTAATCTAAAACTATGTCGGACTACCATATATTTAAATCTTAACATAAACATTTTGGGTAATTTGCAGTAAACGTCCTGAACCTTCAAAAATGTGTAGCGCTGTCCCAGTTAAAGATGAGATCACTAAAAAAGTTTAAATCCAAAGGCACATTAGTCGAAGATGTGCATGAAGTAATGGTGGAGGATGTGCATGAAGAAGAAGTGGTGGAAGGGGCAATGCAGGGGGTGCCTTTGGATGAAAACCGTCCACAGGTCCTTATACTGCACATTTATTGAAAGGTTTGGGACATAGCTGCTAGGATATAAAGGTTTGGGACTGCGCTGCACATTTTCGAAGGGTTGGGACCTCTACTGCAAATTTTCCTAAATATTTTATATCTTTCTACCATCACCGGTCAGTGGTTGAAGAGAACCTTCTTAAGAAGTTACTGTTGTTGCAGGTTTCAATTATTTCACTTGGCTTTTCAGATGTTTCACTAACTTGATTATCAAGAGAACCATTCAGCACGGTATTACTTTCAGAAGATTCCTTTCTATAACTAATGGCTCTATGGGGAGCTCCTTGCTGAATTTGCTGGCAATTTATAATTGAACTAGTTGAATTCAGCTCTTCCTACATGATAAGAAAACAAACTAAATTGATTAAGATAGTAGACAATTAAGCAGAATCTAATTTCCTTCTTTCCTATTGAAATTAACAACAATTTGATAATTCAGAGTAGAATAAGTTTAGTCTCAGAATTCCGACTTTTTCTGTTATATGCATGAGCTGAGTTATCCATTCATACGGTAAATGACATTCATTAAGCAAATGGTGATCGGATATGTACGAATTTGTCACGAAACACAACAATTGCACAAAACTCAGCAAAATAAAGAAGCGACTAATGATGATCAGATTTAGTTTCCTTTTACTAATTTTAAGGAGTTCAACAACATTTCATCATCCTTTGATTTTAATTTTTTTTCCTGCAAGTTATCATTGATTCTCAAACACTAAAACTGAAGGGAACAGGAAACTCAAATCTGGATGAATATGCACTTATACTTAACATAAAATACTGTCTGAGAAATACAATGCAACATATACTGCAGCTGCATGAATTTAGTGGACATCATTTATACATTAAAGATTTTTCATTGCATGGTTTATAGTTAGATTTTTAAGTACTTCTACTATCTTATGCTACAGATACTTCTTGCATTCACTTCTTACACTAAGATACCGTTAGTAATAAACACACGTAATGATACCTCATATCTACTTCTACAGCCAGTACATGAAAAATCTAAATTCACAAGAAAATGAAAGATTACATTTAAAGAGAGAGAAAAGAGTTGTTATCTTCTGGTCTTCCTATTGAAAGGCTTTTGTTATTATCATAACGCTTCTTTATAAATTTTGGGCTGCACAAAATCCTACAGTTTCTATCATCCAGATGCAAGGTTTATTTAAAAGCCACCTATTTGTAGGCTGGGGTTTGGCAGACCCCTAATCATCAATTGATAACACAAGTTTTACAATAGGGAGGGGGAGATGGACCTCAACTTGAGATGTACACTGAGGTAGCAAGACTATAAAGTAGGTAACCGTAAAAGTGGAGGTACTGCCTTCATTACAAAATTGAAGGAAAAAAGATTTACAATAAAAACCGTAACAAATGCACTTATGTAAAGCTACTGCAACAGCATATGTAAGAACATTGTCTCAGGAACTCCTTTTGTCCCATGACAATGTATCTCTAAAATTTTTCTGCATAGATGCATTCATCAGTAAATAATTCTTATCCATATTTTTACATTCATTTGTTTCTTTCAGTTGCATCTTACTCATCACAACTAACTCTTTTCAGATACTAATGCTACGCATTTAGTTCATATGCTCAGAGATGATTCTGAATACATATTGTAGAAAACCAATTATGGAAAGGCACTGTAAATATTATGATTGATAGGATTGTTATAGGATTATTTGTTAGGTGATTTATTTCCTTTTTTAACAAATTGGAGTCTTCCTTTTTTATTCCATACTTTGTAATATAAATAGGTCGTATTGATTTTGTAATATTCAATGAGAATAGAAAAAAGCTTTATTCTTCACATATGACTGCCGAAGATTTTACTCCTTCCTGAGCATTGCAGAAGATTTATTCCCAGATTCATTGAAGATTATAGGGATACAATTGGCAGGACCATAAAGCACCAATAGCATTGAGCCCAAGGCAGAAATATAATTGGTTATATGTGCATATACAAGGCACAACTTTGATACTAATAGCAGGATGTTTGAAATTCAAAGCAAATCTCACCTGTGTCTCTAGCAGATGATGTGGTATTTCTCTAAGAAAACGTGAAGGCTGAAGAACCTGAAAAGCCACTCATTGATGCTTAAAGAAATACCATAAAGCAAATGGAGAGATAAGAAGAAATGGATAAAGAGAAACAGAGCTCCTTGGACGGCAAATGGAGAAAAGAACTACAGTTTTATAGATTATACCTGCCAATTGGAATCAGTAATCACATATAAGATGAAAAGTTTCTTACGGGCACGAGTCATGGCCACATACAGCAAGCGCCTCTCTTCCTAAATGTAAGAAGCAAATAAGATTGGTAAAATGACAACTATTGTGTGGAAAAAATAAAAATCACAAAACCATGTAAGGAGTTCTGAACAAGAAACAAATACCTCAATCGAAGTACCACTCTCATTTACAAGGCCATCAAAATCATGCAGGGGGATCTCAGAGTCATTTGCCTAAATCATTTAGCCAGATGTTAGAACCATTATTGATGATTTTTATTTCAAATAATTATTCCATGTTAAAGGAAGGAAAATAATTGATTATCATAGCATCTCTTAATGCACACTAATCAGTATAATAACAAGTTAATGTGACTAACAAATAGCCATAATGCCAACTACTTGACAATCTGGATTCCATATACTACCTTAACTATGAAAACTGTGTCCCACTCTAAGCCTTTTGACTGCTCAAAGAAACAAAGGAATGAGAAAAAAATAAAAAAAGAAAGAAAGAAATGAACCAAGGGAAGGTGAAGAAAAAAATGAAATGGACGTTAGTAAAAAAAACTCTTTAAGGACAAACTACAGGGGTGTGCAATAGAACCTGATGAATTGTTGTGAGGGTGACAGAATCTTCATTATCATGTCTTCTTGAACGAAAATTATCTCTCTCCCGGTCAGATATATAGTCAATAAAAGCTTTAAGTACAGTCATGCAACCTTTCACTTCTGTTATATTATTATCTACCCCTTCTGCTGCATTATCTTTGTTTGTCAAAAAATCAGAGACATCATCCAACAAATACTGCAGCACCTGCATATTAGACCAACTATATTTGAAGGACTCTAAATACCAAAGAAGCTAAATTTGATTTCCAGGCAAGAAGAATAAATGACATGGTGCCAATATTGCCCAGTACATAGCAATTAAAAATGAAGCAGAGGATATGTTTCCACACTTACAGATCTGAGGTCATTATCCTCATTCAGCAACTTCCCACCATCAACATCAAGAACCGCTCGCTGTTCAAGAAGATATTTCTACAGAACCAGAAATTAGGCAGCATATATTTGCTTGTCTTAATACAACAATATTAAGATACAAATGTATAAGTTGAAAACTTAAACTTGAAATGACAGTGTGGAAGGAAACCAACCTGAGGTATCATGTTTGCCACAGAGGTAATAACAGCTGAAATTGATTGTTCCTGTGAGCATCGAGAATATGGTGAGTGCTAAAATTCACCATATTTAAATTTTATTGCTTAAACCAAAAATGAAACCTAGATAGTTCCATGACCAAAAAAATGCAAAAGATGAACATGTACAAAAACTTCCCACAATAGAAAAAACCGTGAATCTACTGCAGAGGTTATATATAAACACAATTTAGAAAATACTGCCCTAATTACATGATCACCAAGGTTAAAAAACTAAGTTAAAAATGACAAGAATGTCTACTTGTTACTAATTAATAAAAACTTTTTCAAATGTTTCGTTCGTTCGTATTCAGTACAAGTGCAAAAGAGATAAACATGATTATTAAAAGGAACGTGACTCAGTCATCACGCACCAGAATAAACAACCGGCCCACATACAGAAGTTGTTCTGTTCAGTTGACATACCCTATAAACAAGTTTGGATATTATGTCTAGAGTGAGCAACACCTTACGCCCTTGTGTAAGTTGACTCCTGCAATTATTTGCACGATTGAACTAATTACAGTATCAGAGGCTTAGCAAGCTCCAGAAGCCAACTGTAAAATGCAGAAAGACATAACAAAATACAAGAAATCTAGAAGAAGATACATGGAAAGATCTCATTCTTAAATTGCTCAAGCAGCCTGCACTATATTCTGGTCAATAATGGTTCTGTATTTCTTATTAGTATCTATCGAAACTTCTTCGCCAAAGATAAACTTCAGTTATTTAAGAAACAGAAATGGATCAATAACAAAAAATTTGATGCTTATACTTATATAATGTCATGTAAATTAGTTATCTAAGTGAACACGTAAATTTATGTCATTTACAATGAAATGTAAAAGCAGTAGAACGGGTATATCAAAACCAAATGAAAGCAGCAGCAAGTTTGGATTCCTTTATTTAACTGATGAGTTAAATTGCAACAATGGCAATGACATACAGTTTGCACCTTTAGAATAAAAATGAGCAAAACATAAGATAGCAGAACAAGTAAACATAGCATACCTTTTTTAATAGAATGCTACCAAAAGAAAGCATAACAAAATCATACCCAAAATTATGACTAACTAAAGCACATAAGTCATGTTCTACACCAGGAAATATTTGTGTTATCAATTCAGCAAAACCTAGAAGTGCAAAAGATCCTGAATCATTAGTTTATTGTATAGTCAGTCTCTTGTGACCAACTTTTTTCCTGTGCTTATCAAAAATGTCAAGAATGCATTGGACAAACTTGTTACAGGTAAGAAGCAGTAAAGCATACCTCTTAAAAGTTCCAGATATCTTTGCGCTGAATATGTCACATGCTGCTGCACTAAAACTACATTTTCTTACAGTTGAAACTTTGTCAATGTGCTCAATTACCTGAAGTGGGGATTGGGAAGAAGTTGATAATGAGGCATCGGCATAAGAGGCATAAACCTATAAGATCATATACCCAAAGACACTAAATATAATTTAACGTGGAAAATACCTTCTTCTTTTCGTCTTTCTCATAAGGTAGTAAAGCCTTGAATACTCGACGAAAAGGGCCATCATCACAACCAGGCAACGTTGTCCTAAGCAACGATATAATTGCTCTAACTACCTGTTACGTTACAAAACATGGTCAATCACCTATTCGGAGCATGGTCTTAAGGATGGGCTATCATGAGGGGTGCATTTTTGAATGTGATACGAAAAAAATGCCAAAGCATTGTGAACAATACTGAGAAAGAAGATTGATACATTATGCTTTCCCACTTACTCTGAAAAAGGTGAATTATGTACCAAGAAACTCAAGGGTCGACCATACTCTTATGTTATACAGTGTCTCATATCTTTTGGGATCCCAAAATATTCAAGAGAGAGTATGTGAGGAATATATCCCCATGGATTCTTTTAAAAAGTATTATTTCAAATGTTCGATTTTCGTACTGGCTTCTTTCAAAAGTATCCTTGTAGTTGCTTGAGTTTCCAATGGCATCTTATGAAAACAAACTCTCACTTTGAAGTTTTGTTACTCAACAATCCACGAGCATCACAGCTAAAGAAATATTAGCCTGAAAGACAGAGGCTGGCTTCTGTCTCTATCTTGAGAATTGATTCCTCGTTCTTATTCTACTAATTTCATCTTCAAATTACTTTTATCTTTCTTCATATGTTTTTCTTTAAAACAAGAAAAATATTTAAGAATAAAAATTTCTCTTCCAGTAAACATCATAAGGTGAAAGGAATACAGCTAGATGAAGCTGAAAATTTAGCTCCTGTTTGGTTAGCCTAATGCTGACTTAATAAGGATGCCTGGGTGAGCATATTTTGTATATAGAGGAGTCAAAGTTCCCAACAATCAAGTAGTTTAAGTTAAAACAAGATGTAGTCCATCCACGGGATAAGTCTAATGAGTGTGCTAAAAATCATATTTTTAGTAGATTATGATAAAAGTTGAGGGTCTCATGAAATTTATTGACTTAGATTTTAATCAACTTTTTTTGGCTAAACCAACGGGGCTTAATATTAAGCCCAACACAGAAACTATAAAAAATAAAATCTAGGTCACAGCTAAATAATATAAACTGGTAATTATGCAATCCACAGGGAAGAGTCTAGTAACAGCAGTAAGAATTTTTCATGGGGTCATGGGCATCATGGACTCAAATCAAACAGATTAACTTTATTAGGCAGCAAGACTGCATATAGTCTTTGTGATTTCCCCGAGTCACAAGACCTCGTGCATTAGACTGCCCATTTCGAATGTGATATATGTCAACACCCTAATCTTGATATTTGTTCTGACAATAAATTTCAAATCGATCTACAAAAACATTCAACCCAAGTATTGATGCATGATTTGTGTTTTGTGATTGCATTTGAGCTTTTCTTTATTGATTAATAGATTGAAGTCTTTTACTCCTTCATTCTGTGAACAAATTCAAAGGTCAAAAGTATAAAGCACAGCAGCTTGCCATGTTTGCATACTAGCATGAAAGATTTGTACACATCATACATAATATTGATAATAAAGTATGAGGATATTACATTAGAAGAATATTATGACATTTTCCAATCAGAAATATATAGGAGGAATGCATCCAATGATAACATGTCATCATCTCAGTGAAGTCATGGAAACATGCAGAGTTTATTATACATAAGTTTGTTTGAGATCCATGTAATAGGTTGCATTTCTCTTCACATCTGTTACAAATAGAATGTGTTTGAAGAAAGTGAGACATATAAGTAGGTGTAACCAACATTAAAAAGCAATCCAACAAAGCCATGTAGTGAGGTGAGTCAAAAATTATATGTGCTGACTGCTGAGGAAGCAATTGCACTTCACAAATGAAACACAAAGCTCAATGTTTACTTTTTAACCTGAAAGCTAAAAGCAGAACATATATACCAAGAGAACTATCATGGCAGGTTCTATAATTCTCTTCACGTATATCATGTTAGACATTAACAAGTCAAAGAATGTAATTTAAGACAGCTTTCAAGGAAGTTCGTGAAAATCTGCCCATCAATAATTTCCGATTCGTTCTCAATAACTAAGCTCTTTCGATTTGGACTAATTCTGAAGTTCAGTAGTTGTGTGTAGCTGAGAGATTAAAAGAGAACAAAATATTATTCATTTTATTCTTCTCCTAGCTTTGAATCCATAACCTGCTGCCAAAGTAGCATATTTATATGCATATTCTTTTCTACTTTCAAGTTTTGTGCTCTTCAAATCCATACATCCATAACCTGTCCCCGCACTTGCATATCTACAATATACCCATATTCATTTCCAATTTCAATTGTTTAAATTACTGCAGAAACGTGATGCTAATCAGAAACTTGCCTTGCAAAGGTCATTACCAAATACCGCAGTAATGTTCATGGAAAAAAAACACAGAGTTTATGTTGGCAGTGAGTCCAATTCTTCTATCATGTCTCTCTTGGGTATATAATTATATTGAAGGTAAGCATGCTATCGTCCAAGCCAGCACAGGGATAAGTGACATAATTCAGGAATGATTTTGTTACGAAACACCATCTAATGCAGGAATAGCAAAAGATTTGTGAATTTTCATAACCAATCATCCAATTTGAATGTCTTGGTTTCAGCTGGCACGAGGTACGTATTGTGTAGTATTTTAATTGTCTTATTTGATATATGATGTGCAGTAACAAACCAGGCCATATGTTCTAATTTCTGCGCCCCGATCTTGCCAATGCCACAAGCCAAATATTTTTTATTTTTGATTAATTTTATAAAAAGTAATAAAAGTCCATGTTAGCTAAGCTGCAAGCTCAGATAGTCAACACAACCCCCTCTTCGAGTGATCGGTCCCCATCCCATGCCAAATTTCTGGTAAGTACGGGCATAATAAATTTGGGGCATCCTTCGAAAGTAAGACTTCCAATTTGTGAGGAGAAGTAGCCTTCTTTGTCCCATGAGTGACTATATAAAGGATCTAGAAAAATCATGTGATGGATGTCAAGGAAAAATGAAAATATGAATATCAGCAACCTTTTTCCGATAGAAGGCCACACCGTGATTGTTGAATGGAATTTTTCTATCGCGAAATGCTGTTTGGAATATTTTTCCTGACACCTATTAAAGAAAAAGCCACGTAAATACAGCAACTATAACTGACTCTATAGAAGTAAACTAGAAAGAGAACAGTAAATTTAACCTGCCTCCGGTAGAGAATAGCGATATTGTTGTAGGAGCACTTAGAAGATGAAACATCAGATGTAATTTCCAATATTTTGTCAACAACAAATGCACACTGCGCATCTTCATTGTAACATTCCTTGATAGATATCTGATGATGTGATCCAAAGAATTTGAATTAATTACCATAAATAAGAAAACACTCAGCTTTTTGCTGAAACGGTTTACCTTAGATCCAGATGAATTATCAGTTAAAACGTCCTTTGACTTGCATCGTCTTAGATTATTTCGTATAAGAAACGAGGCGGCCTCAACAATACAACGAGTGGACCTGTAATTTTTGTTAAGTCTGACCTGGATGAATAACAAGAAACATTCTCAGGAAACCTCCATTCCTGAAAGTTTTAGCTTTTCACAGATAAGTAGGAAAACTTGTCCAAGTGTAATAAACCTCTTTATGCTCTGCAAAATCTTTTCGAAATGAATCGAATCCAGAAACATCGGCTCCATTAAAACTGAAAATGGACTGCAAGGTAATGGATGGAATTGTCAAATTGAGAATTGTGGCAAAAATTTAATGATGAAAACGACAAAAACAAACTAACACTTATTAAGGGTTAGCTACATATATTCTTATCGGTTTATTGCAATAATTAGCAGAATGTCCAAAGCAACTAGATCCTTGACATAGACAACAAGCCATATTAGTTTTGATCTAACCCTCCCTCTTTTAACGAGTTTTTACTGTGCTCTCATAATCAACTAAACTCAGCCTCCTTAGATCTACACAAAACATGTCCTAACCACCTAAGTTGTCCTTCCTTTCATTTATCCTCAATCAGTGTCAACCCTATATGTTGACTATTCAACCTGTAATATGGCAACAAATCCGTTTTTCAAATCCTCGTTTCCACTAAATTCATCTTATTGACATTTCTCCCTAACATCCCTATACCATAAACATAGCAGGCATTCGTGTAGCACTTCTCATTTTCTTCCAAATAACTAATCCTTAGCATAACATCTTCAATTCTTCCTTGTTAACAGTCGAACCTAAATACCTAAAATGATCACCTTTTAAGGACAATGTTCTCTACCATAACCCAATATAATCTACATGCCTACTATTTTTAAAATGATGCATATTCTATGTGCTTGTTTGGATTGCATTATAAGTTGCTGAAATTAGAAATGAGTAGATGATAAGTGGGTAGTAGATGTGAATCCTACGAAATATGTGGTTAAAATTAAAATTTGATCTTAACCTTTAATTATAATGCAATTGTAATGCAATCCAAACAAGCACTGTGTCCTAGGAAGTAAAGAGAGGCCTACTGCAATATTTTAAAAAGCAAAATGGGTATTGAGGCATTTTTCCTTCGTGAGACAAGGCGAATTGAGGCGTAAACCTCACCATAAACCAAAAATTAAGTTAAAAAATAATAAAGTATTTGAAATAAACATATACAATCTTCCAGTCTTGTAAAAGAAACCCCTTTTATTTCTTTGAAGTGGTGAGATATGGGGTAGTATAGTGGGATTCCTTGGTTTTTTATTGTTTAGTCCCAATGTAAAAAGAATTTTTTTTATAGCTAATCAGATAATTTCATTAATCAACGGATAATACACAGGAAGTGTATTATCCCTTGATTAATACAAAAATAAACCACCTGAAATTAGACAGCTCTTCTATGAGATTAATAGCCACTACACTAAATCAAGTATACAAAATCAGATAAAACAATTCTCTAATCTACTCTGTCGTCCGTTTAATCTTCAAAACAACGTCTATTCATTTCTCTCCACATATTCCATATAATGCAACCGGAATAAGATCACGAACAAGCTTGCTACCTTATCATAAAGCTTTCTCCTCCATGCCCACGACACATCCTTTATACGCCTAGGTAACACCCAATAGTGGTCAATCGTCTCCCCATCACTCTTACATATATAACATCATTCTGTAACATTAAAATCTTTTCTTTGAAAATTATCCACTGTTGACACATGCCCCCTCACAACCGTCCACGTTAAAAATGCTACCCATCTACATTATCATACCATCTTCCAAGGGAATGAACTCTCCACGGGACCAATAAGGATCGTAAATAAATGCAAACAAAAAAATACCATCTCGTGCCAACCTCCACCTACTACATTCGCCCTCTCCTAATCGGATGTGCACCTCATGCAAAGAGGTCAAGAGCAACGCATAATCATCCAATTCTCAATCCTGTAGATCTCTCCCAAAAGCAATGTTCCAGCTGTGGCTTCCATTATGTATATCTGATACATCATTCACCATAGGAGAATGCACCAAAGCAATGCGATAGAAAGAAGGAAACCCTACCTTAGCAGTTGATCTCCACACCACAATCATCCCAAAATCTGATATTATTACAATTCCTCGTCACAAAGGTCAATCTATCCAGAAAATCACTCCATCCTCACTGGATATACCCCCACAAAATCACCCCATAAGAACCACGACCCTCAACCAAACACCAACCCCCTCCATCACATCATACTTCACCCCTATGTATCTCTCAAGAATCTCTCCGTCTCCACTCTAAATCACCACAGCTACTATCCAACAAGGCTTTATTAAACAATACAAGGCTTTTCAATCCAAGGCCCCTCAAAGTTATAGGAGAACAAACAATACCCCAATTAACCAAATGAAGTTTCCTCTCCTCCCCCAACCTATCCCAAAGAAACTCCCTTTGAATCATCCCTAATCTATTTACCACTGCAATAGGAATAGGAAACAATGACAGAAAATAAGTAGAGAGATTAGAGAAAGCGGATTTAATGAGAGTAAAATAGCCTTCCTTTGAAAGGTACATACGCTTTTATCCCGCTAACCTCCTTTCCACCCTTTCCATAATATCATTCCAAATATGTATACATTTAAACTGTGCACCTAACGGGAGCCAAAGATATGACATAGACAACTAGGCAACTCTACAGCCTAGTATAGCAGCCAACTCGTCCACATTAGCGACCTCTACCACTGGAATAACCTCAAATTTTCCAACCTCCAGCATTGACATATTAGTGTGCGACATGTGTCAGGTACGCTAGGTGGTGAGCGTCAATTTTGTTTTTATTTCTAGGGTAAAATATGTTACTTAGATAACAAATATCTTTAAATAGACGAAAAAGGAGAAACTATCCAGGCTCAAATCCATTTATAGAAGATAAATCAAATGGCGAAGGGTGTTGGGGTCAACGATATTGGATTTCAACGACACCAATTGCACTAAGTTATAACTTTGGTTATGTCCTTTGTAGGTAGGTTTGATGGCATATGTAATAACAATTGGAAGCCATAGTTTTGTAGAAGATTACTCTTGAATTTGCATATTGTATTATAATTTTTGGTCAAACCTACTTTTATATACAGACAACTTTTCATGCTTCCAACCAGGTTCGATCAAAATGTTATTTTATTGTGAAAAGTAGGTCAACTTTTAACAATTAAAATTACCAATTTACTCTCCAATTCAAACACAAACTTGCAAAGGAAGCTAAATCTATTTCATTAGCTCACAAAGTACCTCCAATAAGAAACCTTCCATTTAAACCCTTTATTTTTTTAGTATCAGTCTTCTTCAATAATTTCAATCCTCATTAGCAAGGGTCGAATAGACACTATTTCTCAAAAATGCCAGGCAATATCACTCCTTACTATTTGGATTTCTCCTTTTGAATTTATAATTAGTAGTCCTATGGAGGATGTTTATCCAAGCCTCTTTGAAAATACGTAATAAAACATGATAAATATATTTTTACACGAATCTACCACTTATCTAGACAGAATATGTGAATCTACATTAACAGGATAAGAAAGTAAAGAAGAAAAGTAATTGTAGCTAGCACTCATGCCTATAGCTTCAATAGAGGCTTGGTAGGCACCACATGATCAAAGCTTGACAACCCTACCCTCAAGAGCTTGGAACCTCAGCAGATGAACTCTTAACAAATTAAGCAAAACATCCAGTAGAAACAACCATCATCTTCTATTTGAACTAGCCTCAAAGCTTCCTTGAGAATCTTTAAAGACTTTTCACTTAAACCCTCCAAAAAGACAACATTTTCCACAACCCAAAATAAACATATTTTCATTTCCAAAATACCCATAGAAACTGGACTTGGGTGGCAGCCCCAGAGAAAATCATAAAACAATAGAAACGGGAAAAGTTACCTTGAACGTAATAGCAAATAAATATCTCACCAACAGATCATTGATTACACGCTAGATTAGTTTGCAACATTTAGAAAACAAGCTTCGAGCTCGATTAAACTAGAAACTTGAAGGGTATCAATGACAAAAATCACCTGACTTGGGTGGCAGCCCAAAGAAAATCATAAAACAATAGAAACAGGAAAAGTTACCTTGAACGTAATAGCAAATAAATATCTCACCAACAGATCATTGGTTACACGCTAGATTAGTTTGCAACATTTAGAAAACAAGCTTCGAGCTCGATTAAACTAGAAACTTGAAGGGTATCAATGACAAAAATCACCTGACTTGGGTGGCAGCCCAAAGAAAATCATAAAACAATAGAAACAGGAAAAGTTACCTTGAACGTAATAGCAAATAAATATCTCACCAACAGATCATTGGTTACACGCTAGATTAGTTTACAACATTTAGAAAACAAGCTTCGTGCTTAATTAAACTAGAAACTTTAAGGGTATCAACGACAAAAATCACCTGATCTTCATCACCGACAATTGTTATGCGTTTGTGAGATGCAAGAATTAGCAACAAGCCATATTGTATAGCACTTGTGTCCTGAAATTCATCTATCACTATCGCCTTCCATGATTCTTGACACTCCTGAAACACTTAATTTACCAATGGAAAAGAAAGAAAGAGTCAATAAATGACAATTCCATTAAGCGATACAATTATGCTGAATTATGTCCAGATATTAACCTCCTGGAAAATCAGTCAGTAGCTTCACTGAATAGCTGATGAAATCATGGTAATCAAGAGCATTGCAAGATTTTAATATGTCATTGTAGTTCTGAAGAATTGTCGCCTAATGCAGATTTGACCATGGAAAGCTATGATGTAAAATATAATATATTCAGAACAGCCAAAAAAAAAAAAAAAAAAAGCTCAGTAGAGCTTACACCCATCTCATCACCCATCTTACGGCAATCTTCAGGCGTCCTTCCAGCAGCTTTAGCCTGTAATGTACTATGCTGTAGGTGTTACCAAAAGTGATACAAACAAAGGTGCATAAAACCAGCAATCAAAAGATAACAAAGTTCATATAGGTAACAGGAAAGTTAAAAATACTTTTTAACAGTATTTTCAGAATCTGGCATAGCCATAGCTATCTTATTCTTAAGCATATGGAAATGGAAGAAAATTCGTTCTCTTCAAGTGAATATATTTTTATCGTTATTTTACACTATAAGCCCAAAAAATTATACATATCTATCAACCAAACTAAGAACTTCCGCAAGATCTTAAAAGTTTTAAACAATGAGTACTCCTTTATGGGAAGAGAAAGCAAGATATCAGTTGAAGCTAGGGAATTTTCTTCCTCGTGTACATTTTTCTTTCTTCACATTTTTCTTTATTATAATACGAGCACAGCAATAAGATGTATTTCTTTAGGAATAGAACTACATAATTAAATGCCCTGAATTTAAAATGATGTAGAAGTTTTCTTCAAGAAATGTGACAAACAGTAGATAAGTTTAAAAAAAAAAAAAAAATTACCTGAGTTACAAATTTCAGCCACTTCTTTGACTTATCCTTAAAATGTTGTGGAGAGTTTATGTCAGACAATTCAGTTAGCTTGCTAAGATCAAGGTTGGCACTTTTCTTTACATTCTCCAGTAAGCGAAGAGCCTCAATAACAGCTCTTCTCTGTTGTCCATGCCCGTATATCAAAAAATCAGGTGTACGGCCTAACCTATTGAACGAGATAGCATGTTATGTGTGTTATTAGCAACTGGAATCAAACTTACACAGGACAGGTATCTTATAACAAAAGGGAGTAACGTCAAAGGAGTTAACATGAAATTCTTAAAACTGTAAGATCTGTTCTTCTTTTTTTCATTGTACCTTTAAATGGATGCACTGATCAACTAGTGTCACACATTTCCATTATTATCAGGCAAAACTTTGAATGTCTGCTGAAGTTAGTAACATTAGCCAATTTCTACAGATGTATACAGTGATGACAACAAATTTAACTAAAAACTAGAGGCAACAATAACATTATACAGAACTTGTTATTTCAATTTTATAAATTACACAGTAAACCAGATGAATTCTCTCTTTAGCACTGATCTTCCTTTTCAGTACTATAGCACACAGCTAAAGAAAAATATGTAGTAATTCTCAAAGCAGCTCCTCATACAAAATATGAAGAGTCTGAATTAAATTATTCACTTCAACCGGAATCCATATTGTTGTTTTAGCCATTATTGAGGAATAGCAGATCATTAGAAGTTTTTATGTGTTCCGTTAGATCATATTGAAAGGCTGCCTAATCCCATGAACCCAATTCACTGCTCGATCCACTTGGCTGATCTAAGGCATTGATCTAATTACCCAATATGGTTCCATCTGAAGCCCTCCCAACCACCCTTATGCCAGCTCAAACATGAGGACCAAAGCCAATTCCGGTATAGTTGTGATTGTCAGCAAATTCTATATTTGGTAAAATTCTTAGTAACTAATTATGCTGCATCTCCAGACTCAATTATTTTATGGTCAATATTTATTTGAAGAAATTGATATATCCACACCAAAGTACATGCTTTCTAAAGTTTATTGTATTACTAGCTTATTAAGTTGCCACATGTCAATAGAAATGGTCCCTATTGGATGATAATTTTTTATTTCTTGAATCAATTTGTTCACACCTCGTCAGCTACCCTAATTTGCTCTGTGTTTGTAAAGCCAGCAAGTATTTTCCTCAGTTTATGTCATAAAAACAACAACGTGATGTAATAGAGTTCAAATAATCTTACTCAGTATTCAGTAACATAAGTCCTGTGCATGTCTAGAAGTCATTCAATTGGTGGAAACGTAAGAAAATATTACAATTTGCACATCTAATAATATGTTTTATATCTTTCAAAATTATTGATGCTTAGAAAGACAGCAAGAAGACCAAGCTTCAAAAAGGTATGCAACAAGGAGAGGCTTAAAAATTAATCTGTGAAACTTTTAGCATAAACATTGTAGCAAAATTTCTTTTGCATAGAAGCTTTTATGTCAAAGCTATGTCAACTAACCTTTCAAGTAGGCATGATATACCAAAAGTCATATCAAACTGTTTGATTCATTTCCTCTGACTATTCATAAGTTTTGTCCATACAAACATTGAAAACATTAAAGAAATGTAACTGCAATTTACCTCAGCTATTTTATTTCTGGTTTTATAGGAAAATGAACCTGCTCACGGAATTGAATGTAATTGTATAGTTTAAGTTTTATATTTTGTGAATTTGAAATATACATACTTCTCGGCATGCAGGCGGCAAAGCTGCAAAGAAAATGAGTGAAATGTACTGATAGTAAGCTCTTTTGCTGCTGCCTTCCCTGTAACCGCTCCAATCCGCTCTCTCATTTCAGCAGCAGCAGCAGTAGTGAAAGTCATAGCCAGAATATGGGATGGACCAATACCCTAGAAAACCAGTAAAAAGGAGAGGAACCAAAACAAGACCTAGAAAGATGAGCAGACCAGTTGTTTGCCAAAATTCCTATTAGAGAAACAAATAGTATACATGATTAAGATAATCATGGAATTGCTGTAAAAGTACCTCATTCAGCAGCATCAAAACACGTCCAACCATGGTAGATGTCTGATACGCAAACCAGAAAGAGAGAGAAAGTTATAAACACAAAAAACAAGCAGATATGAAATTGAAAAATGGAAACTAAAGACCTTCCCACTTCCTGGACCAGCAACAATAATTAAAGGGGTCGAAATGTCACTGCATGCTGCCTCTCTCTGCCTGTCACTCAGTGAGTAAATATACTTTGCATACTCATCGGGCATGTTTTCAGTAACTGTATCCTCAGAATACCTCAACGCTTTGCCTTGACAGTCACTGTCACCACTTGACTTTAATATATGCTCAGTTTGTAACTTTTCACCCTTAACAAAATGATCTCTATTGGCTTTGTCCTCCCCAGGGGTCATATTGACACACTGAATTTCTGTAGGCTTCATATCACATTTCTCTTTTGGAGATTTTTCTGCTGACTTCTGCCTACATAATGTATCAATTTCCTCTAAAATTGAGTCATCAAAATCATCACTAAAAACATGACGTTCTGTTAAGGAGCTGCTTGAAGTACAGCAGTTGGGCTGTCCTAATTTACTAATATATAAATTTGAATCAAACCAATTGGAGCAGCTAGGTTGCCTAGCCAGAGTACCATTTGAGTACATCCCTGATGATTCCAAAGGAACATCTAGTTTCATTTCACCAGATCCAACGCCGTTCAAATCAATCCCACAACTAGATATTTCGTCTAAACATGATCCGCTGCTACATTTAGCTTGACTACTAGGAGACTCTAATGACAGTTGGAGTACTTCACTCTTCGTTTTAGAATTCATATCATCATTAATCTCACAATGTTTGTTCACCAACTTGTAACCGTTCATGGGAATTGGGGATGGTGTGTTCTTAGGAATCTCGTTAAGAGGTACTCTCTTAATCCCATTAATGTGTGCCTGATTTCTGATTCCATCTGTATCATTAGCTCTGAAACAAGTAGAATCAACACATATCAAATACCATTTTTAATTTAGCCATCTACAAACTGTAAAACAAGATTGGAAAAGAAAAACCAAAAAACTTGTCCACGCGAAAATATCTCTTTACAGATTTTTAAAGCCCAAAAAAATTGATTCAACATTTATAAATGAAAGATAATTACTTGATTTTGATGCCCAAAAAAAATACAGCAATTAGACAACTAACTCGAATTTCCTGTTCAAACAATATATTCAGCCATCCACATTCATCGTTTTTATTTTTACTTCGTTAAAACGTAGTTAAATGAAACAAGCCATATACATTTTCTTCTTACTTTTTTCCAAAACAAACCAAGAGGGAATTGACTTTTTTTTAGTAGCCCAGAAGAGAAAATATATAAATTCACTTGAAAATGAAAAACATGAACTTACTTCTGATTTTTTGGAAAGAGATCGGATGGGGAGGTAGACCACAGTCGTGGTCTTTTGCTGTGGAGAAGTGCCTTGGCAGCTCTGAATTTTTGGGAAATTCGAGCCCTCTGCTCCGCCGATAATTCACCTCCACCAGGTGAAGCCACCACATTCTCCTTGTTCATGTTTGTGTTTTCTCCTCAAAATGAAATTGAAGCCAGTGTGAATTATATTACTGTAGGCAAAATTGAAGTTTATTGGAACCCTAATTGAAGCCAGTTATTCCATTGGTTTTCCCTCCCAACTGTGTTGTGGCTGAGCAAATTTGAATTTGCAGAAATTTTCACTTTTACCCCCAGGTTTAGCTAAGTAAAAGTGCTTTTTTATTTTTATATTTTAAACGTGGATCACAAGGATCCGTGTTTAAAAAATGGCTTATTGGTACAATATCGCACCGTATGGACTCAATTGTCAAACATTAACACCCTTGCCTTTCTTAAATTGGTCGAAAATCTCTTATATGACCTTTGAAATGCAGAAGATCCTCTTTTCTTTTCTTTTCTTTTCTTTTCTTTTCTTTTCTTTTCTCGATAAAGCCTTGTAAAATGATAAAAACACGGTCATATTTAAATAAAACAAAAAAGAGGAAAAATTAAAAAAATAATTTTTACTGTGATAGTGTCACGCGTTTTATGTAACATGATTTTATACCGCAAGCGCACGGTGTCAAGTTTTGTAGTATATTAAAGAATTGAAAAGTGTCGAATCCACAGGGATTGATATTCGACTTCCACTGAGTACTATAATTATGTCTGCATTTACTTTATCTAGACAATCGGATGTTAATTCGATGTTTGAATGCTAAACTAATGTCGATGAATTTAATAATGCAAGAAAAGTGAGGCAATTTTTAAAGATTAATTCAGAATTTCGTAAAGTCTAGAGAATGATTTCACCATATTATCAACATGATTCTCAACCCCTATAGATACTTCCATTAATTATTTCCCGAATTCATAGGCAAGAATCCTAAATTAATTCTATTTCCCCCTCTCGAGCGTCAAATAAAAACCTATCTCTATAATTCAACCCCAATATCTCTATTCCGAGTTAAATTTATAAAGATTGTCATGCACTTGGTTCTTGTTTTACCCTCAAAGAATTGCACTTTCTCTCGAAATCTACAAATCTAGGTTATATTGTTCTTAGATCATGTCTAAATTTCCCTCTCTCGAGCGTTAAAGTTAGAGCATCAATTCATTCAATTGGTGATCAAACAACCGAAAGCATTAAGCAAGAACAATACAAATCAATTCTGAAAAATTAAATGGAAATACTATAAAGAAATTGAATCATGTCTCAAATAGGTTACATCAAACCCTAGATTTAATAACTTAATTCATGATTGAGGAGAAGAACATGATAAAATATAAATTAAATCTCATGGAGAAGAGAAAGATAAGAAAAAACTCAGGTTGCAGCTTGATTCCTTCTCCAAGATCCAATGATTCTTCTCTCAATTAGTGTATATCTTTGCCTCCTTTCTTCAGCCGTCAAAACCTACTTTCTTAGGTCTCTCAATATGTATTTATAATCCCCTTAATTTGCATTACGAGTTGGAGTTGGGCCGGGTCAAAAATATTTGGAAAAATTGCATTTTTCCTTTCTCGGCATGCAGTGCCTAGGCGCTGTGATTTAGACACCTGGGCGCTGATTTTCTGTTGGAATTATAGAATTGTGGCGCCTGGGCGCTGAGGGTATAGCGCCTGGGCGCCCGGTTCGCCCGAAACGGCATTCTGCGCGTGTTTCAGTATTTTTAGCATAACTTTCTCATTCGATATCCAATTGAAGTGAATCAAGATGCGTTGGAAAGATAATTCAAAGGGCTACAACTTTGCTTCAGGCATCATTCTCCAATTCGATCATTTGATATATCAAAAATGGGTCTGAATGTGGGACTAAAAATCCAGTGCAAAACTTTTCGGTTGGAAAATGATTTATGATATCTTGATTAAATTTGATCCCTTTTGACACCTTCCTTCATCCAATTGACTCCTACCACTCTCAGATCTTCATTGCAAGTTTCGATACAACTTTTGATTATGTGCACTTTAGTCATCGAACTTTGGATCTCTTACATTTTGGTCCTTTCATCCAATTTCGCCAACTTTTGCCTATTTCTTTCATTTGGCCTCTTTTAGCACTTGTTTTCTCCACTTCATCCATCCTTCAAAGTAGTGTGAAAACCACATGTTAGCACCTCTAAAATACTCTCCAAGATAGCAAAATCATGAAATTAATGCCATAATATAATGAGTGTAAATCACTCATCAGATAGTAATTTTTTTTTTAAGAAAAAAGAGCAGATGAGTCCCATATAAATAATTAAAAAAATTAAAATTCTAAATAAAAAAATTGTGCAATTAGCACAAAACTTTTTTACCTCTCAATATTACTATGCAAAACGTCGTTACCTTTTATTTTTTGACATTTTCACCCCATGCTTTCACCTTTTATTGCGAAAATTATCATTTTTATCCATTTTTTTCAAAAAAATTGTAATCATACTCTCAAACTTTTCTAAAAAGTGCAGATGAATCGAAATAAAAATATTAAAAGAGTAATTAGCACAAAACGTCTCTACCTTTCAATATTACTGTGCAAAACATCCATACCTTTCATTATTTTGTATTTCACCTTATTTTCATAATTCAATGCGAATATAATCATTTTTATCCATTTTCTCAATTAAAAACTGTAAAATAATAAATATATCCTCCTCTGTAAATAAAACTAAAATAAAGGAAAGAAAAAGAAAAAAACACATTGCAATTATACATCCATTTTTTTCAAAATGTACAAATAAATTTCGAATAAATAATTAATTAAAAAAGATAATTATTTATTTGGCATTTATTTGTACTTTTTTCAAAAATTTGGGAGTATAGTTGCAATTTATTCTTTATTTTTGTTTTATTTAAATAGGAGGGTGTATTCGTCATTTTACAGGTTTTAATTGAAAAAATTGTTGCAGATGATGATTTTTGTGATGAAATGTGAAAATAAGGATGAAAATGTCAAAAAAATAAAAGTTATAGACATTTTACACAATAACATTAAAAGGTATGGACGTTATTGTACTAATTATCATTTTAATAATTTATTTGAACTCATTTGTACTTTTTAAAAGGTTTGGGAGTGCAGTTGGAATTTTTTATTTAATTGTTCTTTTTTTTCTTTTTGTTTTATTTAAATAGGGGTGCGTTTGTCATTTTACATTTTTTTAATTGAGAATTTTGATGAAAATAATGATTTTCGCAATCAAAAGTGAAAGTATGGGTGAAAATGTCAAAAAATAAACTATAAGGACATTTTGTACAATAAGATTGAAATGTATGGACTTTTTTGCTAATTACCCAAAAAAAAAAAAAATCATTTCTCCCCTACCTACTTCTCTTCCCACCACCACTCCGCGCCATCTCTGCCATATCCTATTCCCACATATCCCTTTATCAGTGTGGAAGCCACTTCCAAAATCATAATTCCATAAAACACTCTACCACTTCTCTACCATTATCTTGCCTCTCTCTCTTTCTCGTAGAAATTACAAAGAGGGGAAGAAATTGACGCACAAAAATGATTTTCTCAATGGTACTGACGTCCTCGCCACGAACCTACTTCCCAAAAACTACTTCTCCAATTATCCAAAGAGCAATTCGAACGTGCATGTTTCTATTTTAATTGAATTTGTTTTGTAGTGCTTAATTTCAATCCCGTTTAGATAAATTTGTAGGTCAGTTGAAATTTGAGGGGATTCAATTGAATCGAATAGAGTGGTCGAGATCTAAGAGGTATTGTTAAGACCATGACTCTGATTTCGAAAAGAACTTACACTAGAGGACGAAAACACGATATAGTGGTTTCCATAGTGACGACGGGCAAGGAGGCGGAGTGGGAGAAGGACAACATTATTTTTTTAGTAAACATTGTCGATCTATCGGGAAAGGTGGGAAAGGAGTGGTGGTGGTGGTGGATGGAATTCATTGATTATTACTAATTATCGAAATGTCTGCCATGATTTAAAGGTGAGGGGTGTTATTGAAATTATCAGAGAAAATTATAAAGGCCATTGATAGCATATTGGGGCGTCGATCAATGTGCATGAGCTAATTCATTGGGATGAAGAGAGACTTATTGAAAATTTTTATACAAGGGAACGGGTCCCAAATAGATGAATGCCTGTGTTGTTGCCTACTCCAGAGGCACTACTTAATTCAGGAGCGCATTTTGGAGAACAATGTTGGAGGGTTTATAATTAAAAGTGGCTTCCAAGCTAATAAAGGGATAGGTGGAAAGAAGAGATGGTAGCAATGGCAGCAACGATGACAAGTGGTGGTGGGAAAAGGGATAGATGGAAGAGAAAGGATTTTTTTTTTAATTTTAAATTTTAATTACTTATTTTGGACTAATATAGTTGAAATTAGTTCTTTAGCCACCGTTTGGCCCCACTAAATCTCATCAAATTAAATTAAATTAAAATTTTCTTTTTCTATTTTCAACCACACAATTTTTAATAAAATAATATTACACGTAAATATAAAACTTTTAATTCTTTTACAATCATCCATTTAAAAAAAAAAACAATATTCCTTCCATTATAATACAAATTAGTGGTAATTGGGTCAAATAGCCTACGTTATGATACATTTTGGGATTTTAGCCTTTTGACCAGAATAATGTTTTTAAAATAAATATATTAAATCATAATTTATAAACTACTTAAAACACCCTTATTCAGCATCACTAGAAAACTTAATTCTTCATTTTCTTTTCTTAAATCAATTGAATTCCAGAATCCTAAATCTATCATCTTTGTTCTCTCTTCACAATCCCCAACCCCCCTTATTTTTTCTTCGTGACTTCTTCATCTCCAGATCCTTCTACCATTCAAAATCAATTTCCCTCGTCTTCTTGAGTGAAATGAGGAATTTGGTATGAAGGTTTCATCAATTTCCCCAAGATCAAAACTCGCAAAAAAAAAAGCATCCATATGTGAATAACCACTTCTAAGAACCAATTTCACAGTGGGCTATCCTTAGGTATGAATGATTCATCAATTTTTCATTTTTAATACGATTTTATGCAAAAAAATAAATAAATAAAAAAAAAAATAATAATAATAATAAAATTAGAGAAATTTGTGCTAGGAAGAATTATATCAATAGGGTGGACCTTTTTTAGACCTTTAAATTTATTCTTTTTTTGCATGTTGTGATTAACTTATTTTTTTCATTGCTTTGAATTACACGAAAAAATACTTAACAATTCAAATTTCTTCCTGTAACTGCAAATTTGAAAAAATGT